AACTCATGCGGAAGTGGCTTTAGCTTCTCAGTGCTGTGCTTTAACCCACTGCGCCACTAGGGAGGGCCGGTTCCTCTCTTTTTGAGCTGGTTCTGCCTGTGGAGGCCCTGGTAGTATCTCAAAACTGGTCTAACTCTAGGGTCAAGAGTGACTTAAAGACCACAGAGTGCCTCCTGAACTGGGTGAGAGTTGCTGTAGAACCCCAAAAGGAAAATGGACCCTAGCTTTGCTGAACACATTTCAATACTGCTTCCCTTCCCAGGTGTATGCAGACATGCACACGCGCATGGTGCAAGCCCCGAGGGCCATGGACACACTCCTCTGTCCTCCCTTTGCAGGGCCTAGGGTGGAGGACACCCGGGACCTGTTTCCACTGGCCTCAACCAAGCAGTAGAAGCAAAAACACTTTGGGCTCTTCCCTCTTGTGGCCCATCTAACTGATGTCTGCTTGCAGTTCCTACCTTAGTAAATAGAATAAGTCAAAGAAAACCACGCACCCCTTGATGACTGAAGACCTCACAGGTCTTCATGTCCAGCTCCAGCCAGAGCCTTCCTGGCCAGGTGGCCAGGTCAACAGCAGAGTGGGAAGGCCTGCATTCTTCAAATACACTTAGCTGGTATATTCTACACTGGACAAGCTAGCCCTATTTTTTTTTTCTTTAAATATTCTGTCACCAAAGGGAATCTGCTTTTTCCACTTTAGAAAAAATGTGAGTTCAAGAAGTATTTTTCTGGGCTTTTCATGAGTCGGTACACAGGAAAGCAATGCAACTGATGACTAAGTCCTGTCTGGGGTGCCACACTGCTCAGCTGCTAAAATCATAAGAGCCTGTATTGATCTAGCACTTTCTATATGTTGAGTATTCTGTTGGGACTGCGACACATAATATTGCCTTCAATGCTCCTCTGACAGTTTTATGAAATAGGCATTAATATAGTGTCCTATTTTTTTGGGTAGAGGAACTGAGATACAGGACCCTCCCTGGTGGCACAGTGGGTTAAAGCTCAGCACTGAGAAGCTAAAGCCACGTCAGCACGAGCTCGATCCCTGCCAGCCCCAGAGCTGACCCACATCGTGCGTCAGACCTCACCTGACCCGCCCTCTGCTCCCCTCAGCAGTGTACTTTGTCAGTTGGCCTGTTCTGCTCCCCACTGTCTCTGGTGAATCCTCTCACCACCCACCCCTGCATCTTTGGCCTGTACCCCAGTTCTGTATGCACAAATAAATAAATCTAAAAGAAAAAAGAAACTGAGATACAGAACTTGAGTCAATTCACACAGCCAGGCAGGGCTGGCACATGATCCACAATGAAGCTATCTGTGTCAGGGTCTGGTGGCCAGGGGAGACCAGGAAGTCTTTACTGCCTAAAAGGCGAAGCATCTGGTTTCCCATTTAAAGCAGAGTGGCAGACACAGGGAGGTGATGTCAGACTACAGACTACTCAGCGTCCCAGCTACTTGTGGGGGCCATTGCCCTGGCTAGCTCCCAAGTTTTCCAACACTCTTGTAAGGAAACTTCTGACTTGGGTATTCCACTCCTTGAGAAGGCTCCTAAGTTTTCTCTCTCCTGGGATGGAAGAAGTAGTGGTTTGGGAAGCTACAGATGGAGCGGCAGATGGGAAGTGAAAGTCTATCAGAGTTGCCCAGGATAAAACCATTCATCTGCAAAATTCATATGTTTTCGTGTGGGGCAACTTCACAAAAACAACAGCAAGAGGAACTAGCAGTGCTTGATGCATAAAGTGCCCCTGGGCATGAGGATGGCAAAGCACAGTGGGCGGAAGAGCTTGGGACGGGGAAGACACAGCAGTGGGAGGTTGAGGGAGAGAAAGACAGACCGAGAGAGAGATGCTGAGACCTGGAGCACCCCCGCTGAAAAAGCCAGAATAGGATGACTCTTGTCTCTGAACCCAAACAGGCTGGGTATGTGGCCTGAGAAAAGATTTCAGGGCCTCCCGGGGGTGAGGTTTGGCCTAGACTATGGCTCAGGAATTAATAGTTGGCATTTACTAAGTACTACGTGTTCAACACTGTGCTAGGTTCTAATAGTCCCGAAACAGAACGATCCAGCCCCGTACAGCAGGAGACCCTCGCTCACACGCTTCTTCTCACCTGCCTGACACTCCTTCCTTCCCTCCAGGGCTCCATCAGCACTGCACATTCAGAGGCCTCTCGGACCTGATATGTCCGTCGTGTTTTACTCCATGCACACTATCTTCCTTTCTTTATAGCCCTTGTGTACCTCACCTGCTGTGTTCCTGGCGTGATGACCTAGGCTCCATGCTGCCCCCCGGGGCGGGCGGCTGTGCACACCGAGCGCCCCAATAGTGCCCAGCATAGGAGCTGATCAACAAATGTTTGTGGCAGTTTGAATGAATGAGTAATAAGTAAAATCTGCTGGCGGTTTCAACACTGTTTTCTATGAACGAGACATGGGTCTCTAACCCCGCCACTCTAACCCCTGGCTCAAGGGTGCTGATGCCTTTTTTTTTTTTTAATATAATATTATAGTTTATTTTTACATCATTTTGTACATTTTTTTTTCATCTCAATTGTAATCCCCGTGGGTTTCCCATCACCAAGTCACCCATGTGCCATCACCGTAGAACCATGCATTTCCCTCCCCCACCCCCGTTTTTGATCCCATTCCTCACTCCACCCCACAAAATTCTGGTATATGGCTGTTCATTATTCTTATTATTTTCTCGCCTGGACCATTATATTCCTGTATGAGCGAAACCATCCGGTATTTTTCTTTTTCTTTCTGGCTTATCTCACTAAGCATGCTCTTTTCCAAGGGTGCTGATGCTTTTTAACCAAAATCACCACATACTGTGCAGCCTCAGATGCTCCCAGCCTCCAGGGCCTCGCAGCCGGCCATGGGTGCCACCCCGCCCAGGACCGGAGCCCCAGGAATCACACAGTGAAGGAGACAAGTCATTTCTAGCTCTGACTGGGGGACTTCTCGTCCATGCCGGGAACTCATTTGGATCCTGATTGAAAATCTCAACTCCTGGGAATACGTGACCTCGATACGCGAAGCTGTTAAGAACGACTGTTAATGTTTTAGGTGTGATGAGCATATTGATGTTCCGTTCAAAGGGAGACCTTATCTTTTTGAAATGGTGTGCTGAAATATTTACAGGTACAAGTGTTTCTTAGAAATGCTGCAGTGGGGTCAGGGAGACGGGAGCGAGAAGAGTGAGCATGAGACTGGCTGGGAGTTGATTATCTTTGAAACTGGGGATGTCACTGCGGGGGTCACTAGACTATTTTCAGCACTCCTGGGCATGTTTGGGAATTGCCTTGATGAAAGTCTTTTTTTAAGACTCTTTCAGCTCTTCTGGGAAAGCTTACCCAGTGCCTTCAAGCTGTCAAGAGAAGGAAGACTTCCCTGCACCCCACCCCCACTCACTTCTCTTCTTCAGCCTTGTCTGTCAATAAACCAGCCTGGGAGACAGACAAGCCAAGAACTGCCTTCTTGACATCTTGCCCCTTCCCCGAAGCTCTCTAGACAGGTTTGCTTTGCTCATCGTGTGCTTTCCAGACTTGTCAGTGCTCGCGCAAAGGGCCAGCGCTTCCTGGCAGTACTGGCCCCCTGGGCTGCTGGCCTCTCTGCCGTCCGCTCCTAGTGTGGCCACGCAGGCTGCCAGCGCAGAGGGCGAAAGTTCTAGAGGGGATGGAGAGCTCTAAGTTCACATGCATCTTCCCAGTTCGGAGATGTGGGCAGTCGATTCACTTGCTAAAATTTGATAGGCACCAACTTAACACCCCGGGGGGGGTCTCCAAGAGCCCAAGGATATAAGTTTCTGAACAGCCAGAACATGGTGACCCACCTCCCTCTTCCACACTGTCCTCTTCCAGGTCAACACCGAAGTCACACCTTGTCCTCCCCCTGCCCACAGCACGCTGGTGGTTCCCTCTGGCTTCGAGAAGCTGCCAAATTCCAGAATCCCCACCATCTCGTCACACATTCCTCTCTGACCTCTATGCATCTACTCACTTACTCTGTTCCAGCCACACGGGCCCTCTGTTCCTCCAGCACCCAGGCCTGTCCCACCTCGGGGCTCAGCTCCGGCCTCTCCCTCCCGGACACGTTCCCTGAGGGGCGGCTCCTTCGCCCCTCCCATGCTTCCTGGTAAGGGCGTCCCCGTCACTCTCCTTGAAATTACTTTTCTCGGGCCCTCCCTGGTGGCGCAGCGGGTTAAAGCACAACACTGAGACGCTAAAGCCACTTACGCACGAGTTCGATCCCCACCTGCCCCGGAGGTGACCACATGGCGTGGCAGACCTCTCCTGACCCGCCCGCTGCTCCCCTCAGCAGTGCACTTCATCGATCTGCCTGTTCTGTTCCCCACTCTGTCTCTGGTGAAGCTTCTCACCGCCCCTGAGCCTCTGGCCTGTACCCCAGTTCTGTCTGCACAAATAAATCTTTAAAAAAAAATTATTTTTCTCCCCCGCACCTGCTCGCTGCCTCATCTTTCTGATGTGCCATTTTATTTATTTTGCTTGCTTCTCTCCCCCACTTGGATGGAAGCTCCCCCGGGGGCAGATACCCTGTAGTGTATCCTCAAACAGAGCTGGGAAAACCGTGCACTCCACACCTCTGTGCTGAAAGCGTGCCTGAGTAAGGTGCAAATGCACACACGACCGCCGGGTGCCCGTGGCTCCTAGCTGGGAGAGCTCTGAGCACAGGCGTGAGCTCTGCCCCGCGTCTCAGGAAGGCGGCTGCACCACCGCTGTCTGGTTTCCGGCGAGGTGGAGGGAGAGGGTGCGCGTGTGGGACCCCAGCCAGGCTGGCTGGGGCGCGGGACGCCTTACCTGATGGGGTAGTCGGCTGCGCTGAGGTTGATGAAGAAGTCCCAGGGCCAGTCGGCCATGTCCAGGAGGTCCCGCATGCTCTGCAGGTAGGTGGACAGGAGGCTGGCCCCGCCCCAGATGGTGGCCATCCTCCAGGGGGTGACGCGGACGTTGCTGTACTGCCTGGCGAACTGCAGCACTCGCCGGTGCAGGTAGTTAGAGCGCTTTGGGAAAGGGAGAGGAGTCAGCAGCTGCAACCGCAGATGGGCGCCCCTCCGCCCGCCCCGAGTGACAGGCCACACAGTGGGGCTGCCGAGTGACCGGCTCAAGAGCGGGGACCTCCCTGCATGGCCACTGCGCTTCTCATTCCTGCACTGTACTTGAGCTGCTGGAAATGCAGACACCAGGGGCCGGCTTCTCAGCTGACGGTTCCCTGGGGCATGGGCCGGGCCTGGGCCTCTGCATTTCCTCACCAGACCTGCACACATGCCCTGAGGGTGACAAGCGAGGCAGCAGGGCTGTGTCTAAACTGGGAGCACTGCAAGGGTGGACTCCCATCACCCTCCCAAGGACTGTCCGAGCAGACCTTTCAGGTCAAGCACCCCTCCGCCTCTTGACGCACGGCACCATCCTGTTTCGTCAGCAGATGCCGTCACGTCCCCTCTCTGGGCTCAGAGGTTAGGGGGAGCAAGCCCGCTGCAGGCGTTCACGAATGAGCTTTTTCAGTGTTGCTAACAGCTGCTCCACACCATGAAAAAGGTCCAGAGGCAGAGTCAGCGGACTTGTGGCCGGAGTGGTTAAGATCCCTCTGGCCCTTGATAGGAAACACGTGGCGAAGCCTGGGGCATTGCTCCTCTAGCCTGGCCAAGGGTGTCGGGACAGGGGCAGTGAGGGGAGGGAAGGCAAATGGTGCCAGTGCAGAACGTCTAAAGCCATAGCCGGGAAGTGTGACACACGCACACACGCACCCCCGAGGGGCAGCTGCTCAGCCCCTGAGCCTCCCCTGAAGGGAGCCAGCTTGGGCGGGAGCAGGCGCACCGGGGTCGCTGGCCTCACCTTGTCCACGTGGATGTAGTAGAAGTGGTCTCTGTGGTAGATGGCCTTGAACATGCGCTGCAGCTGCCGCGAGGCGCGGCCGTGCACCACCAGCACGAAGGCGATCCGGACCGGGTTGGCCGGCATGTACTCCACGGAGTCCTCGTCCCACTGGACATTCTTGTTGGCTTTCCCTGGGGAAGACGGGAGAGACGGCAGAGGGGGGTGAGGCTTGCTGGCCGTTCCTGTGTGTAGGGGAGCAGTTTCTCGGCCGCTATCGCGTTTGGTTATAGAATCTGACTCACCGGAACACGTGCGCACTGGCCCTTACATGGTCCTGTTACAAACGGGGCGAGGGGCTCTGGGCTTTGGGCTGAGGGACCAGGTTTTCATCCCGCAGGAGCTTCCAAAAATCCACGGAGACGCACGCACACTTATCAAACAACAGGGCAGGTGAGGGTGTGGGAGTCGTCTCTCTCAACCACGTGGAGGACATGGCTCATGCATCCTCCTTTCACCTCCTAACAGCACCCAGTTAAAATAAAAGTGTGACCACAACAGGCCACAAGAGGCTTCTGCTCTTGGCCTACAAGGACACGCACCACGGCAAGCTGTACGCTAACGCTCAGAGCTTATCCCTCACCTGTAACTAAGACTGCACCGTTCAGTTTTGGGGAAGTCACCATGTCCCTCCCATCTAAGTCCCTAGGGATATGGGTCTCCCTCCATCATCAGTGTTGGGGTGATCGGAACATGGCACCTTCCTGGCCACAGCAGGCCGATGCAGACGTGAGCCAGAGCTGGTTAGCCGAGGAAAGGGAATTCCAGGCTTCTGTTGGAACTACGACATGAGAGAAGTTCTCCTTCTGTGCACCCAGTACTGGAAGGTCCTGAGAGCCTTCTGTCCTCACTGGAGAGAGGCTGCAGGGGAGGAGAAGTGACACAGGACGGGAGGGTCCCGGTCCTGACTTGAGCTCCTGGACCAGCCACTGTCAGACTTTTAAAGTTGGACCCTACACCAGATTCACACGGATAAATGCTTCTAGACATCATTCATCCTGGAAGCAGTCTCAGAAGCTTCTGCTTTTGCCTTGAAAATGTCCCCGGGAGCAGGGTTTTGGGAAGAAACACAGCTTGCTAGTGTAGTGCACTGTGCTTCCGATTAGAAAGCTCCTTGCTTTCTCAGCCTGCTTTCCTTTGGGTCCACTCTGATTCCCTGTGGGCTCTGGGTTAGGGGACCCAGCACATGCTCAGAGTAGGAGCTGCAGGTGTCTTAGAATGTCATCTGGCAACGCCAAGAGTGGGCCTCTCCGCCTGGTGGTTGGGAGACTGGGAGCCGGTCAGCTGTTGCGGGAGCACTGAGTGATGGCCAGATGCACAGGCTGCCTCTATGTCCCCCAGAGGACACTATGAGATGAACACGTCCCCATCACGGCCCAGCTTGCACAGCCTGAGGGATCTGCCTCCTGCACCTCTTGACCCTGACTGGAGACCACTTCCCCACCTCACCACCTGGCATTGCTTCCCCTGGGGCAAACTCGTTTCTGCCTCAGGACCTTTGCACTGGCTGTTTCTGTTGCCTGGAATACTCTCTCCCTAGAACCTTGCATGACTGTGTCTTATTAGCTCACACCACAAGAAAAGGCCACTTACCATCCCCACTCCCAACCATACCACATTCCTTCACCTCACCCTATTTCAATTCTCTGCACAGCATTTAAGAACATCTGAAAGCTTTTATCTGTCTACTTGTTTATCTTCTGAACATCCCACTAGAACATAAACTCCATGGAAATGAGAGACCATTTCAATCTTGCTTGTCATTGAATAGACAATAGTGTAACGATATCTGGCGCACATCTGGCTCTTGGAGAAAAACGAGTTACAGGAGGGTGCGTCTTGGCTTGGTATTATAATAGCAACAATCCCTTTACAGAGCATTGACCAGCCTCTGCCATTCAGTATTTTATGGAATCCCCATAACAACCCTGCAGAGAGTGCCATTATCTTCACTTTACAAATGAGGAAACACTGCTTAGAGAGGCCAAGGGATTTGTTTAAGGTAGCATTGCTTTCGCTGGGGTACCTGAAATCCAGCCAAAGTCTTAACAATGAAGGTACACTCACTACTATAGCCAGGATTTGGGAATGTTTCTAACAATTCTGCTAGTAAGAACCTGGGAGTCAGTTATTATAGGTAAGCAGACATACAAAGGACTGTCAGAGCATTGAAGGGAGGATTCCTATATCATGTGGGACGCTGAGTCCAGGAGGCCAGTCCATCCATCCATCCACCCACCCACCCATCCATCCGTCCACCTGCCTTCCCGCCCCCATCCGTCTGCCTGTCTGTCCATCCATCCATCCAAATGCAACCACCCACCCAGCAAACCATTCAACTATCCATCTAGCCAAGTACTCAACAGCCTATCATCCAAAAAACCAACCATCCATTCATCCACCCATCTTATCACCCATCACTTCTAAAATCAACCAACCATCCATCCATCCACCCACCCATCATCCTTAAAAGCAAACCATCTATGCATTCACCCTTTCAACCACCTATCAACTCACTGACCCACATAATATTAACTGAGCCTGTACTACATGCCGAGTATTGTGCCAGGGATTAGGAAATGAAATTCTGAAAATAACCTTTGCATTTGAGGAGCTTGCAAACAGCTAACTGGGAAGAACAGAAGATAATGTTCAAATATTTTATAAGAGCAGTGTGGTGGCCTCCCTAGATCTTTGCATGACTCTTATTAGCTCACACCACAAGAAAAGGTCACTTACCATCCCCACCCCCAGCCATATCACATTCCTTCACCTCACCCTATTTCAATTCTCTGCACAGTCTGCATGCAGGGACAGATGCGACCTTAGAGAAGTCAGCCCAAAGCTCCTGAGACCATTTCTTCCAGTTCTCCTGATGGGTCCTAATGTCTTTAGTCCCTTGGCTGTTCAACCAGCAGCTGAAATCCTGAAGATATTATCATCTTGGCTCTCAGACTAGGCAGCAACCAGAGGGGTGATTCTAGCCACCCTGTAATGTCTCCAGACCACCATTCCTAGGCCTGAGGTCCTGAAAAGCACTGGGCCTTCCTGGCTAGGAGTGGGCTGTTGTCCTGCTGGAGTGGGGTAGCTGGCTAACTTTGCTATCGTGCACGTGACAACAGGCTGTCACATTTAAGTACACGTGCTCCTGATCCCGTGCCTGAGAACCTGCCCTGAGGAAGGCCCACGGGGAGGTCTGTGTGGAAGGTTACTTCGGTTCACCGAGTCATTCATTCCGCAGCTCTCCGCAGCCAGGCATGGGTCTAGTCATAACAGAGTTGTTTTCCACACAGTGCTTAGGCTGGTGGGGTAGAAAGTGAATGAAAAAGGGAACAAATGCAGAATATAATAGCAGGGTGATAAAGGCTATGAAGAAAGCAAGTTCAGGGGGCTGTACGTGGCTGCGGCAGCCAGTGGAGGCTGGACTAAGTGGAGACACTGGAATAAGCACTGAATAAAACCAGGGTGTGAGCAGTGGGGACTGGAACACTCTGGGCAATGGAATAGCCAGGGCAAAGGTCCTGGGGTCTGATGCCCAGAGTGATTATGAAGGTCCAATGTAGGAGTCGAGCCAAAGGTCTTCCCAAAAATGTTGTCTATAAGACAAAGCAAAAGAGAGGCTCTGAAGTGTTACCCATAAGCACTCACTAGACACGTTCCCAAGTATGAAGAGGACCAGTGGCATGAACACTTTCACTTTCTGCATTATGTTTCTGCATTATCAGCATTTTTCTAAAATGGCTGACTATGATAGTGAAATGTAACAATAAAGGTGGAGCTTCTGGAAGGCTCTAAAAGCAACCATTTATCAAGTGCTTACTATGTGTCAGGTACTTTCAGTGCCTGATTTTATTCACTTCTGCCCAGACCTCTGTGAGAAGGGAGCAGTCAATGTCCCACGTACAGGTGAGAAGCTAGGCTGGGAGAAGTCCCAGAGGAGAGGTAGCTGACGGGATGGCACCTGCCAGGCTGATGCCTTCTCCTAGTCCCTGTGCTGTTGCTGAGGCAGTGGGTGAGTGGACCTTCAGCTGCAGACCAGGTGACACACCACATGGGCCGAGCCTCCCTGAAACCCAAACACTGCCCGCTCCCGGAACAAAGACAATGCATTTAACATTGTAATCAGGTTCTTGTGGCACAAAATAGAGTTAAGTGGAAGAATCAGAATGATTCAAGACAGCAGGAGAAGCTGACTTCAGACAAATGTTAAAAAGTCAGGTTTGTGGGGGAGAATATCAAGTGCACTTCTGCGACACGGGTGTGAAGGCCAAGGTCAGGGACTCATGGCTTTCCATACTCTGTCCTTTCATGACCGTCATGGGTCAAGCGTGGATGACAGAACCCTGGGCTCCTGGCCTATGGGGGGAGGAAGGTCCTCGAGGCGCCTTGTAGGAACCAGCGACCAGGTGCAGATCATTGCAGGGAAGATCTGAGAGGCCTCGGTCTGGTGACGCTGGCTCTCCAAGGCTCAGTGTTACCATCATAAGACCATCACAGCACCTGCCTGGTGTGGACCTTGCTGTCCGCATGGGCATACGGACGGATCTCGCTAAGCAGCTGTCATCACCGTCGGCTCAAGGGTCTTCATTTTCATTTGACCGCTGTTCCTCTATGACTGGATTAAGTTCAGCTCAAGCGACAGGCAGCTCTGGTGTCTGCACTGGTGGTGGTGAGACGCTCAGAGTCACCAGGGATCCCTTCTTTTCTCCTCAGCCGCTCAAGGCGGAGGATGAGCTTCATGGCAGGAAGAGCTTTATCTAGATAAGCCTTGGGGTGTGTCCTCCAAGGCTCAGGGCCTCCTGCTCCCCTGGGCAGAAGGGCTGGGCCACCTGTTATTTTTCTCCCTCTCTGAGACAATGTTCCTGTCCCCACCCCAACACCCCCAGCAAGCACGCAGGAAATTTTCCCACTCACTGGTTTTTCCCCCCTCATTCAAGTCTAGAGTTATTAAACCACAACCCATGGCTGAACCGTCTTATTGATTTTATTGTCACGAGCCTGGGATATTCTAATGATGTACTGCTCGATAGATGGAAGCTGGTGGGATAGATATTGATGGCGGGTGCTCCATTTCGCCGCAATTCACTGGGTCCCGGCCACTTTGCCTGTTCCACCTCATCTGTGGAGAGGCTGC